TACTTCCCAGTTGCCCCTATCGTGGACGTCGTGTCCACAAAAAACTGCGCACTCCATGAGGCATGACATCTTTAGGATTGTTGAAACGAGATTGTGCTATGGCCGTACATCAAAAACATATAACGGCAACATTAAAACACCACAGGTTATAGATTTATTATTATTATTATTAGTCCCTTGGGTTCCTAATGGAACATAGGGCTTCAGTAGCACGTCTCCAGTGAACTCTGTTCCCTGAAATCTTTTCTACCTGGCCCAACAACAGCGCACAAGTTCTCATTTCCTCCTCGCACGATCTCCTCCATGTCACCCTCGGACGTCCAACTCGTCGCTTCCCATGGGGATTCCACTCGAGCAACTGGCCTGACGCGTGATATCCCCAGTCGGCTTTCTCAGTGTATGCCCAATCCATCTCCACTTCCTTCTGCATATTTGTTGCGTGATAGCTTCTTGGTTGGTTCGTTCCCAGAGCTCTTTGTTGCTTATTCTTCTTATTTTGGTCATCTGATCTTCAGTAGCGAGCCAGCGTAAGCAGTTGTTGATGAATGTCTGTAGTTTATTGGAAATCCCTTTCGTAACGCGATAAGTCTCTGAACCATACAGAAGCACTGACTTGACGTTGGTGTTGAAAATCCGGATCTTGTTCCGCATGCTAAGTGCAGAAGATCTCCACACTGGTTTCAGGTTAATGAACGCCTGTCTTGCTTTTCCGATTCTGACTTTGACGTCCTTGTCTGTGCCACCGCCGCCTGTAGTTGAAACAGTGCTTCTAGATAGGTGAAGGAGGTTACTTTTTTTAGGTTTCTCCCGTTGATGGTGATTGGAGTTTGTTGTTGTTGGTGCGGTATCTTCATCACTTCTGTCTTCTCTATATTCACCTGAAGTCCCGTCTCCCTTCACTGCCCTGCCTCTTCTGCCAACTTGTTAGTTTCGCCTGTAGATCTTCAAGTTTGTATGACATCAGGCACAAGTCATCACTGGCGAAATCCAGATCTTCTAGGTTCTTTTCCGCGGTCCAGCCAGTGTATCCCCCTCTTCTCGCTCCTCACTGTTTGCTGCATGATCCAGCCGACTACAACACAATCAGGAATATCATGGGTGATAGTAGGCAACCTTGTTTCACTCCTGTCTTCACTTCAAAAGCATCACTGAGCTTCCCATTGTGAATTACTTGGCCGGCATGTGGCATCTTCATATAGTTGTTGAATGAGGCTGATAAAGGTTTGCGGTATTCCGTAGTAATGAAGCAGTTTCCAAATTACCTCTCGGTCGACGCTGTCAAAGGCCTTCTCAAAGTGGATAAAGTTGAGGTAGAGAGTTGACTGCCATTCTATACTCTGTTCTATGGTGATGCGAAGCGTTGCAATTTGGTCCGTACATGATTTGTACTTCCTGAAGCCTGCCCGTTCCGGTCGCAGTTTTGAATCCAGTGCATCCTTTAGCCTATCCAGGATGATGCGGCTTAATATTTTGCTTGCTTGGGATGGACAGGAGCGTGATTGAGCGCCAGTTCTTGCAAACACTGAGGTCTCTCTTCTTCGGGAGTTTGACAAGGTAACCCTTCCTCCAATTGCCAGGTACCTTCTCTTCCTTCCACACCTTCTGCAATAGTGGTGTGGTGTGAGCATGTCTGCTGTTGTCTCTGCGTCTGTTCTCAGTGCTTCTGGTGGGATCCCATCTGATCCTGCTGCTTTCCCGCATTTCAGTAGCTTTATGGCGTTCAGGACTTCCATTTTTGTTGGAGGATTTATGTTCACTTGTAGTTCAGCGGCTGTAGGTGGTATTTCTGGACGAAGTGCAGGTGGTGGTGATGGTCGATTCAAGAGCTTCTTGAAGTGGTCGGCCCATTGTTTCCTCTGTTTCTCTTCTTTCGTAATTAACTTTCCTCCATCATCTTTTATTGGTTTCATCTGCGTTGATCACTTCCCTCCCAGATAGCAACCTGGTTGTTTGATATAATGTTGTCAGGTCTCTCTTACCAGCCGGCAACCTGTTCTGCTTCACTTGCCAGTGTTTCGTAGAAGTGTCTTTTGTCTTTGCGTGCACTCTTCTTTACTTCTTTGTCCAGTGTTTTATACATTGTGCTCAGTTCCTCTTTTCGTTGAGCATCATTGCACTGGTTTATCTTCTGCTTCACCATCCTCCTCTCCCTGCTGTATCAGCTTCCATGTATCCGTTGAGATCCATTCCTTGTCTTCTTTCTTCTTCCTTCCTTATACGGCTGTACAGGTTTCTTTCCACACCTCTTTCGAAGACTTCCAGTGTTCTTCCGCAGGTTTCTTCAAGGATGTTCTCCCATTTTGTCTTGATGGCTGGCTGCCGTGACGATGTTCTTTGTAGTTTCGTCCTTGAGTTTCCTAGTGTTGTGTTTGAACTGCGTTCTATTACTAGCTTCCTTGAAGGCTTTTAACTTGATTTGGAAGGTGAGATCCTTGCACTAGATAGTGGTCTGAACCTACATCTGCTCCTCTTCTTGACCTTGTGTCAAGTAGACTGTGTCTCCATTTTCTTGAGATTGAGATAAAGTCGATTTGATTTTTAGTGTGTCCTGGTGTCTGGTGAAATCCATGTCGCTCGCTTTGTGGATATCCTTGTGCTTGAACACACTGCCTCCAATCACCAAATCGTTGAATGCACAGAACTCTGCAAACAATTCTCCATTCTCGTTCATCACCTCACCGAGCGCTTCTCGACCCATGGTTAGTTTTCTTCCTGTGTTGTCCTCTCCCAGTTTGGCATTCATGTCGCCCATTAGAATTTTGATATCGCCAACTGGCGTCTTGTCCAGTGTTGATTGCAGTTGTCAGTAGAATTCCTCCTTTTTCTCTTCATCTGCATAATTTGTAGGTGTGTAGCGTAGCATTGTATGATTGTGACCTTCCTTCCTTTTGAGTTGAACCTTGCTGTCATGATCCTGGAGGAGATTGGTTCCCAGTGCATGAGAGAAAGCCTTCGATGCTCTTGAGGACATCATGATAGCCACTCGATAACTCAGTGTGCTGTGTTCGTGGTTGTCGTCTGGGTGACAATGTCGGAGTAGATTATTGATTCTCCAGTTGACAGTTTGGAGAGTCCACTCCCATTCCATCTGCTTTCGCAGATCCCAAGCACTTCAATGTGATACCTTCTCATCTCTTTGCAATCCGAGCTGCCTTGCTGGGTTCAAACATGGTGTGGACATTCCATGTCCCCATGTTTACTTCCGCTTTCATCGAGAGAGAGAAAACACATCGGCTCGGCCAATTGGCTTCCCGAAGGCTTTCACCAACTGGCGTCATTTCGTCTCTCCGATTCCAGCGAGGAATAATTTTGTTTTTATTTTTTATATTTCGTTTGTGCTTTGAAGTTTCTTTAGCGGTTAGATTTGTTTTACGGGGTAGGGTTGCTAGCCCTATGCCCAACCTTCCCTCTTTACCCCGGGCTTAGGACAGAATAGTAACTAGTGAACTAGTTAACCAGGCGAGGTTCAGGTTATAGATTACTGTGCTATTTTTGATTCCAACCTTTTCTCAACATCTCTTCATATAGAAAAGACATCATTCACATCAAATAGGACCAGACAGTCCAAGTTGTTACACTTCATGTGATACTGCTATTCGTCTATGGAAATCATCCTACTGCTCTCACTATGTACAGCCAGCATTACGACTTCTCCCTCAAACCCCATGGTAGCGTAGTAATTTACACTATGACGGTAACTTCTGTTTGTTTTAAAACTCTTAAACAGTCTTCCCTAATGTCGTTGCACATTAAGAGACACCTGTTCCAGCCATCGTGGCTCGTTTGGTCATTGTGGTCTTCGAACCCGGCTACAACGTCAAGGTTAGCAGCTGTCGATTGGCCTTGGTTTGGTCAAACAATGAGTGTCTAGAAGTCAAAACGAGCTAACAGAGCCCCTATGTTTGTTGGTAGGAGGCTTTTAGAATTCGTATGCGCTCCAACCTGCTTATGTATTTATTTCCTCTACTGGCAGCGAAAGATTCACCTTTGTCGACCCATTTAAGGTGACAAATTTAGTGCGCAGAAAATGCAACATTCATTTATCATACACTAAGGCGTTATGACTATCCACTGAGATCCTGTAAAAGAAGTATTCCTGTTAAAACACACCATATGTAGGCTATTGCAATATGATGAATTTAAATTCAAGCTAAAGAAAGATGTCAGTTGGTGCAATCGCAATGGCTGTCGGAAATCGGTGCTGGATTGATGTAGATTGTGATCTTCGCACAACTTCAGAAGACTGCACAACCTAAGCCGCTACCGATTAATTCCCATGGGCCACCTCAACGACCTAGACACTCAACGTGTACTCTCGAATCCTCAGAAAGCACTACAGACAGACAGATGAAAAACATCAACGTAGAACTTTGCACACAGGCACATCGGCTCAAGTTGGCACGCTTTACAGTAGTGCACAAAGAAGAGGTGGAAGGAAAAAGTGATATCAAATAAGATAACGTAGTGTGAGGGAATAAACAATCTGAAGATAAAGGTCAATGCAAATATTCAAGCTTTACAAAACCTCAGAGTGAGTACATCTCTTTTTTTTTGACTTTGACTTTCATTTTGATATGCTAGCGTGAGTTGTGGTATTTTGGGCCGTTAAGCAGTAATGCCAAGTCTCATGTTGATGTTGACTCTATTGATAATTACGCAGACAATTAGTTTATTGCTCAGATGTTTCTTATCCTCAACTGAATATATGATGGTTTTTCCTACCTACGTGAAACGGGTCTGTCTGATAACAATCCAGCTCTATTGGGCTACGAAAGGACAATCTCTTAGGGATTCTAGAAAGAAACTGGCTGTCTCAGTGCATTTTTCCCGTTGAATACTGAAAAAATCACTTCACATTCGTGTCTTTCTTCCCAATGAAAAATGAAACAACTCAACACATCAACACCTGTTCCAGTGATTATATCCATTAATTCTCAAGCTTTTTATCGTTAATGAAATTTTTGGAATACATCATCTGTATCTATTTCTTATAATTGAAGAACGTGAATGGAATACTGTCCTCAAACCAACTCCCTGATTTGGAAACTATCTATGTTAACCAATTTGCCGAACGTTTTACTGCTGCTTTGGAGAATCTTCAAAGTTGTACTGATTCAATCCATTTAAATGTGGATTGTGCACATGGTGTTGGATCTAAAGTATTGGAGAGTTTTAGGGCATATTTCTCTTTCGTTAAAAGCCCGCGTAAATTAATTTTACATCTATACAATACGGATATTGACAACAAAGAACTACTTAATGAAAATTGTGGCTCCGATTATGTGAAGGTTAGCTGTATATTTTTAAACTCTATGAAGTTAATGTTTCAAGCATTCAGTTAATAAATGAATAACTTAGAAACCCACTCGTCTAAACCTCCTCATATGGTTGTTATATTCAGTGACTATAAATATAGTTTTTGATTTCAAAATATCCCATTGTTTTTTCGCCAATTTAGATAACACCGTAGTCACTCCTAAAGTTTACATCAGTCATTCTAGTACAATGCATGCAGCCTCGTATTCTACGATGGCTGGCATCATGCCATACGGTCACGGTTTCAAAGCTTAATCTAGTTAAAAGTATTGGGTATCCGAGCGGTGATACCAATCTTCACATGGTAGGATGCTCCACAAGCAAATATTGTGGATCAGTATTTTAGGTACGTAACCAACTGGATGCGGGGCTAAACTTCATTGAACCTAAGCGGTCTGAGCAATCATATACTATGTAAGGCTAGACGTTATGATTCAGTCATTCAAAGCGATATAGACAGGGATTTCCAATTTACCCATACCCCAACAACGTTGATATCGACGACATTCGCAAGACAGCCCTGAGGCAAGTGCTGAGTGGAGATGCTGTGAACCTGTTACCACTTAAAAGATGTTTTAACCTTCAGAATGTAGACGATATCGTATTACTGTGGAACAACAAAGAGGTCTCTAAAGTCGCTCGTAGTCAGTTACCGATCAGGTACAGAGTGCCTATAAAAAATTGGCATGTGTTTGGACTCACACATGTGGTGAGCCGCTTCAAATTGTCAAAAAGTTTTTTATATGAGTAGCTGTTGGAGTGCTGGCGAAAAACTGACTTACATGGTTTTCAGATAGATGGTAAAATCAACCCAGAACCTAACACAGAAGTACATCCGTTCAAGATGTCACATTGCACAGCATGCATGTAAAGTTGGTAAAAGTAGAGGGATATCAAAACATACAAAACGGCAAGAATTCGACAAATGAACCCTAGCGAAGAATTTCGAACTTCAAAGACGTTAAAGCGTGACTATATCTGCGCTACAACAATCGATCTCGGTCATTTCACCAAGATTATGGAACCATTGGTTACTGTTAGTTTGAGGTCCCTAACCAGATAGACTACATCTCCCTTCATGACTTAGACAAACAGTCAGAGACTTCGTTGATTGATGCCACGTCTTAGCACTCAGGTCCCTGTCCACCTTTCCTATCCTTAACTCTTAATCTTCTTTCACATCTCGGTTAACCTTTCTACATGTACATACACATACATATTTAATTTGTACCCGCTCTGCAGCCGTTGAAAGTGATCTGAGTTCATGGAACAGCATCCCTGGTTTCCTGAAACCGCACTCCAAACTGCATATAAGAGTTTTCTATATCCGCACTCTCCATCATTGTAGCTGTGGCTCATTGGTCCGGGCACCATCAATTAACGAGGCATGGGTTTTAACATAGCTTCATCTATCCTATTTGGGCAGCCAGGTAGTATCATTAGCCGTCACATAAGAGGTGTGGCTCATTGCCTACTTTATAAATGAACACAAAGTCACTGAGTCCATTTCGAATCGTACCCTCCTTTAAATGGGCCAACAAGCTCCACTTGTCAAAACTCTGGCATCTCGCCCAATGGATGTGTGCTGTATCTGGGGGGCACGCTTACAGAACCTAAGCACAGTTACTCACTTAACATCACCCACTGAATGTGGTGAATCTGCGAAATTCCACCTTCGAGTTCCTGGAGATTTGATGGCCAGTTCTTGTGGTCTGGCAGCTGTATGTATTGCATTGAGAAATAAGGCAGAAAGTTCTCTACTCGACTGGATGCCAGTTGACAGTCACCTATGCGCTATTCAATTGAACAGCACGGTGAAGACAAAAAGGAATAGTGAAACTCGCCGTTGTCTTTCTGTAATCTCTCCTTACGCTCACGCTGATAAAATGAACGATAAGTTCTACCGAAAGTTGTCTAGCCTCCTATTGAAAGCCAAACATTCAGACATGGTTGTTGTAGCACGTGGTTTCAGTGCATAAGTGAGTAGGTTATGTAAGGCAGAAGGACACTGAGGTTGCACTTTTGGAATACCAGTTGAACCAACAGATAACGTTGATTGCGTGCTATAACTGTGCTCAGACAATCGTCGTTATGCTGGGGAGCAGGAACCTCAGAAATGAAGAGAAACACTGTCCGACATAGCGTCCACCGAACTCAACTCAGTGGTGATCACAAATAGACCATATTGCTACCAGTTGTCTCTGGAGAGGGTAGGTGGATGATTGCCGCTCTTCCTGCTGCATGTGTTTGGACAGCGATCACGCGCTGCTAAGAGCTCGCTAATGTCTTTACTACGTTAACATGGAAACGCGAACACATCCGCTTACAGCAATATTTGAACGTGATAGAGAAGGTCATTCAGGCGATTTCCGAACTTATTCTTTACTGTTTCTAGGTTGCAGTCGGTCGTGGCGTAGGAAGATGTAACGACAACGTATCGTTTCCCTTGTCAGTTATTTTTCATTCCAATAGAACCTTATAGCTCAGCAGCATAGACGACTGTTAATTGTGGTCCAGTTGACAAGCACAGCTTTGAGTGTAGCATCTAGCGCTACTTCAACGCCAACTCCGGTTGCTGTCCCCATGGGGTCCAGTGTGTTAAGCTCACCGTGGTTATACTTTTTGAACTGACAAATGGAAATGTTACTACAAGCATTTCACTAGGATCTTGTATATAGGTCCGTGATATACATAGGCATGCTTACAGACGCCCGACAATAGCTGTATTTCTCGACCTGAAGGCGGCATTTGACTCCGTTGATCGAGAAGTCTTATGGCAGTGTCTGTCACTGAAAGGCGTGCCTAGTAAGTACATCACCTTATTGAAAGCTCTCTACTCGAACACTTGTGGGCATGTTAGAGCCTATGGTGAGTTGTCCAGGGAGCTATACTCATCAAGTGGTGTCCGTCAAGGATGCCCACTATCCCCATTCTTATTTAATTTTATCATAGATATTCTTATGGAGGTTTCCCTCTCGTCACCTAATTACAAAGACGTTGACCGGACCACAGGTGAATTTTCCTTAGATCTAGAATATGCAGATGACATAGTCCTGTTAGGTGAAGACGCTGACAAGATGCAGAGTCTTCTGAACACTTTGAGTGGAATTTGAGAATGTTTGGGATGCGATTTTCACCACCCAAATGCAAATTTTTGCTCCAGGACTGGTCTTCAGCGGTACCGCGGTTAACAATAGAGAGTGAAGTGGTTGAGTGTGTTGACCACTTCACTTACCTGGGAAGTAGGATCAACTCCGGTGGGTTAGTTGCCGATGAGATTTCTGCACGGATACAAAAGGCTCGATTGGCTTTTGCCAATTTGCGCCACCTATGGCGCCGCCGTGATATTCGTTTGTCTATTAAGGGTCGCGTGTACTGCACAGCAGTCCGCTCTGTTCTACTGTATGGCTGTGAAACATGGCCATTGAAAGTGGAAGACATGAGAAGGTTACAGGTATTTGACCACCGTTGCCTTCGTAGTATAGGACGTATTCCGTGGTGTCACCATGTGAGTAATGCAGAAGTTAGGTGTAGAGTTTTAGGGAGAAGAGGTAAGTCAGTCGACGAGGTTGTGAACCTTCATCGACTGAGATGGTTGGGACACGTACTACGTATGCCTAGTCACCGATTGCCTCGTCACACAATGTTGGCTGAGGTGGGTTCAGGCTGGAAAAAGGCCCGAGGTGGCCAGACTAAAACATGGCACCAATGTATGAAGTCTCTGACTGTTGGTTTAAGCCATGTAGGACGATGCAGACTAGGTGGTTGGGGTCCACGGGACAAGAGGAACCAGTGGTTGGAGACCCTAGGTGATATGGCTCAGAACCGAAGTCAGTGGCGCAGATGTATACACACATTATCCTCATCTTAACAACGCTATACCGAATCTCACTATTTTGTCACTCCTCTTTCCTTTCTTCTCATACTTTATATTTCTTTTGACTGCATTCACTTATCTTCATCCTTCACCTCACTACCTTTTTACTTGATGTGCTGATATGAGGTGTGGCAACTCGGACCGTTACGCAGTAATGCCTGGTCCTATGTTGATAATGATGATGATGATGATATACAGCGGATATCAATAGCAGTGCTTTCCAGAGTTCTATTCGAACGTGTCGGTTGTCCGATATGCATAAAGGTCCGGACCTGGAAGGTGACCAGCTTAAACGGTTTGGGGGTTTCAGCATAGTTATGGCAGATATTTCACTAAGAGAGCTTTTTGAGAGCAACACAGAATAAGTGGAGGATGATGACAGGAAGATAGTGAGGTTTAGATATAAATATATCGATATAATTGTGGATGAAATGAGTAAACAGAAAGTTCTTCATATAGTGCCAAAACCTAATGATCGCGTAACAGTCTTCATTGTTAACCCTTATTTTTGAGCTGTGATACTTCTTGGACCTCAGAGCAGGTGGTCGAAATCGAAATGCACTCAGCAACTACATACACATTTGTTCATAAGACAATGAAGTATACATATTGTCTTAGGATTAATGATACGACCTGACTGCCCAAACCTGGGTAGGTGGAGCTCTGTTCAAACCCCTGACTCTTTGGTGATAATATACCACTCTCCAAGCATTTGACTTGGCGTGTAATCCGCAAGACAATAGAGCTACATTCTAATGTCTTCCAGTGACGAAGGTTGTGTCATATGCCACTTCTTACGTTTTGGATGATATGTCCACGTGCATTACTTGTTTGGAATCACGATTTTCCAAGTCCTCTAGATATACTTTCCGTGTAAAGTAATCCTGGTATAGTGCCGAACGTTCACTTTCATCCTCTCACTTTTATGGAAACACTGCTGGTCAAGTGAAAGGCCTATGAACGTGGACACCATATGACAGCATTTCGAAAGGATAACTGGGACGATCGCACCTCCAACCATATGAAAGCATTTGACGAGTTAATAAAAAAACAAAACAGGGAAAATCATAATTTAACTCTCAGTTTTCGATTATTTGTAACTTGGTTAAATTTGGAGTAATTGTCCTAGAATGGTATCGATGCTTGTCTGGAAAACTGTTACTATGGTAGGCTCCCCTGGCCAGATGTCCCACTGCAAATGTAAATATAGGATAGCATTAAAAATATGAGGTGACTGTTAAGGGTTAAAAACTCGAGACGGCTGAAGTTACCCTTTCTTTTGAACAGGGCTTTGAATGCAATGAAACCATTAAGTTACCAGCACTAGTATTACCATTCACAGAGTTTCTTATAAAATGTGTCATGAATGTCCAGCTGTCATCTACCTAAACCTAATATATTACCACGCGTTATGCGAAACTTCCTAGATTCCTTAGGAATTTCAAAATTGCTGAAAGTATTTACAATTAGTCAGCACACTGTGACGATCCTAGGAAACCCGTTAACGACATATTTATGTAGTCTTTTTTTGCTGATTCCATGGAATTAGTGATAAAAGTTCTTCTAAAATACCCCAGAAATGCCAGGGTTGGTCGTGAATATGAAAATTTGGTAGTTTCTTCATTTGTGCCAGGTTTCGTCTTATTTCCTTTGCAAGTTGAACTGCAAACTAATTGACAACTGAAAGTTGTAGCACAAAAAGTTCAACTCTATATCTTTTAGCGTCATTAAGACATCACTGTCCTATTCAAAGTAACCTCAATTTGATAAGATGTGCATGACTAATTTGTGAAGTCTCTGATTGTCATTCTGAGTCGTATGAGGAAATGAGGTATTTTTGTTGGAATTCGCACCACAGTCAAAGTTGATTGTTCGAGATATTGCTCAAAATCAGTCATAGTGACCAAGAGGCGCCTATCCTCTTTGTCATCCTGTTGATAATGTGTGATTTTGTGCTGTACTTTCTCATCCTGCCTTCAATTTTCTGTTGCTTGCTTTTTAACCCAGTTCTTTTGTAATATCGTTTTCTGGTTTGTGACTTCGAGTATTCACCTTTATAAGCTATAGCAACATAGGTCGATACATACATGTTCCGGTTCCCATGTTGTTTACATCTGTCCGTCTACTTCTCCAAAATCCTTTTTTGTCTAAATAACGTGGAAAATGCCTAGTAAGTTTGCCGAATACCTATCTTATATTGTGATCTCTTTTTACAGATTACAATGCATGCACCAAAATTAAATCCACCCAAAAAAGAATCAATTATGTATCCTGATCGATGGGCTACAATTGATGGAGATGCTGACAGATTAATTTACTTTCGACCAGTACTCACAAACTGTGCATTACCATCCGGAGATGATCATATGAATAAAGATGACTTAGATCCAGTTGATGTTTCTTCTCAGTCAGTTGAACTTTTAGATGGCGATCGTATCTCGTGTCTGTTCGCTCATTTTCTTGTCAAAGTTCTGAAGTCAGTATCTTCTGACATGATTTAACTATTGGAGTTATTCAAACAGCCTATGCAAATTCAGCATCCACACGTTATTTAACCGAACATCTTCACTTATCGGTGGTTTGCGTACCAACTGGAGTGAAGCACTTACATCATGCAGCGCAAAATTTCGATTTTGGAATTTATTTTGAGGTGGGTCTTCCTATTCTCCTGTCTTGAACTAATCTAATAAAAAAACTAAATGCCATTTATGACAAATGTTATGAGAAATAAACGTTATGAAATCCTCCTAGAACTTACCAGAAATAATTCAGCCTAGAGGTTTTTGGGGATTTATTGTTTTTATGATAGTGTTCATTACGGATTGCATCAGTTGGAGAACTAATGACATGCTTCGAGATGAAATTTCCCGAAGTTCTGATGAGAAGTTATGACCTGTGGGACAGACATAGTCAAAATTGAGGACAAGTACTCAAAGATGCTACTGAATAAAGGTCATGCTATTTCACCAATTCACAGAAGTAGGAAGCTGTTAACCAATGAGTACCGATCCAGTGGCTCAATGGAGACATGATGACCATGAAACCTGAAGGTTCTGGGTAGGATTTCTGCTGCGATCATGGCTCATCATCAATATCAGGGTACAATCAGGCTTAACTGCGTAACTGTCCTAGTTGCCACATCTCATATTAACACACCTAGTGAGAAAGCACTAAGCTGAAAAACAAAGAAATGAAGAAGGCAGTCAAAAGCAGTAGAAGGTAAGGTAGTGAAAGAAAAGAAGGAGGAATGGCACAGCGATTAAGACTAAGGTAATCCATGAATACGTCTGCGCCACAGACATTGATTCTGAGATAAATCACGTAGAGTCTGTAACCACTGGTCTCTGTTGCTGCGAGGGCCCCAATCGGCTAGTCTGCATCTCCCTGCATGGGCCAGGCTAACAGTCAGTGATTTCATCCATTTATACCGTGGTATAATCTACCCATTCCTGTAGCCGAGAAACATGCCAAACATTCTCGAATCGCCACTCAAGGTGTCCAGAAGAATCTGCATCTTGTCAACTTCCTAGTCTAACACAGCCATGTCACCTGCGTTCTCTTGATCTTGGTCTCTTGATGAGATCAATCCCTGTGAAATCAGACGATGATATGAAACCCTCCATAAATACGTCTACCCCAAAGTTGAACAAAAATGGAGGGAGTGAACAGACACCACTCGCTGTACATGGCTCACCCTAGAACTCGTTAGAGCTTCTAACAGGCACACAGGTGTTCGAGTACAGAGTCTTTAACACAGTGGTGCACTTTTCCGGTACCCGTTTCAATGAGAGATACTTTCATAAGACCTGTCAAACGCCGCTTCAGGTTGAGAAATACAACTAATTTTGGGCGTTGGTATGAGTGCCTATGTTCTAGAACCTGCCAGTGTTAATTTCTGATTGATGCACTCGGATTTATGTTCCCGAGCTCCACTTAAATGTCTGATGATTATGAAACCTAGAATCTTAGACCCTATGTTCGTCAGGCTGGTTCTTCTTTGGTTATAACGGAAGAGGCCTTCTCGCCTTTCTTGAATACCAGGACAATCAGTGATTAACTCCCATACATTAGGATATAATTCAGGTAATCTAACCACTAAACCACGACAACCAATTGTGAATGTTTCTGGTATTAGTCGCTCTGATCCTGCTGCCCTTCCCCGTTTCAGGTTACTTGCAGTCCTACCGCTTCTATAAAATTTGGAGGCCCAATCTCGATGTTTCATTAAGGACCCAATGGAACATTGGACACTGGAATAGTTGCTGGTGGGCCGATCTAATTTTCCCTCACAGTGTTTCACCCATCGTTCCAGTCGTCGCCCCTTCGAGGGAATCACAGACATTATTCCCCGCCATAGTCCCACTAACTGCTGACTTTTTCTGACCGTTATCTCTATTAGTATAAATAACTGTCTGCTATTAGCTATCGCAACAACCTATTTATCCTTTTAGACTTCGCTGCATATCACTGTTAGTGGTCACTGCACAGACTTATTGTCAGCGTACATTTTAGTTGCCTCCACTCGTCATTATGCTCGGAGCCTGCAGAAATGCATTCGCGTGCATCCATAAATTCAAACGGAGCTGCTGAAATCCGCTGTTCGTTTGTAACCACTCTCGGAGAATCAGCCATTGTCTTCAACGCTGTTTTTTCAGCAGATGGTGCCAGGCTTCTTAAGGATATGATGTTGTTCTATGCTAATACTAATAATTGTCTAGCCAGTTCTTTGCTAAAATAAGCCTTAATGTTCTCATTGTCGAGTTGCACTCAGAATGGTCTCTGCTAAAGTTTTCCACGTCCATTTAGACGCATACATGTGCGAGCTCTTAGCAGCGCGTGATCGCTGTCCAAACACATGCAGCAGGAAGAGCGGCAATCATCCACCTACCCTCTCCAGAGACAACTGGTAGCAATATGGTCTATTTGTGATCACCACTGAGTTGAGTTCGGTGGACGCTATGTCGGACAGTGTTTCTCTTCATTTCTGAGGTTCCTGCTCCCCAGCATAACGACGATTGTCTGAGCACAGTTATAGCACGCAATCAACGTTATCTGTTGGTTCAACTGGTATTCCAAAAGTGCAACCTCAGTGTCCTTCTGCCTTACATAACCTACTCACTTATGCACTGAAACCACGTGCTACAACAACCATGTCTGAATGTTTGGCTTTCAATAGGAGGCTAGACAACTTTCGGTAGAACTTATCGTTCATTTTATCAGCGTGAGCGTAAGGAGAGATTACAGAAAGACAACGGCGAGTTTCACTATTCCTTTTTGTCTTCACCGTGCTGTTCAATTGAATAGCGCATAGGTGACTGTCAACTGGCATCCAGTCGAGTAGAGAACTTTCTGCCTTATTTCTCAATGCAATACATACAGCTGCCAGACCACAAGAACTGGCCATCAAATCTCCAGGAACTCGAAGGTGGAATTTCGCAGATTCACCACATTCAGTGGGTGATGTTAAGTGAGTAACTGTGCTTAGGTTCTGTAAGCGTGCCCCCCAGATACAGCACACATCCATTGGGCGAGATGCCAGAGTTTTAGCTAGTGAAGCTTCTTGACAGAATTGAAAGGCAGACCGGACATTGAGAGCTCCAATGTGTTATTTGTGGTGTGATGTCATGAGAACCAGGAGGCTGTTGTGTGAACTCATCGTTGTCAAGAGCTGTAGGGTTGCTAGAAATAAGCCATTGTGTAGGAAAGTTGACCAAAAGACGTGTGGGAAGATAAAAAGGTATGAATGTGGGAGGTGGATATTGATCTGAGGGAAATTAGCTGCTGAAGGAGTGATGAGTGCGGTTGACACTTTCTAGCTGACCACACTGGAAGGCTCATTTTTCTTAGGGTACTTTTACTTCCTTTGACCGATTTTTCTTTCCTTCCTTTTTATTTTATTGCTGTTACTTGATGTGCTGACTGTGGGTTTGGCAACTTGGACCTCTACATAGTAATGCCTAGTCCTATGTTGATAGATGAAGATGGTGATGATGTCACCTGAAAGAAAAAACTAATGTGACCGCAGAGCTCACGGGATATCTGCTTGAAAGATGTTATACGCAGCTGATTGCGGATTATGCTTTTCAGAGTTGATTTTTCTAACGCCGGGCAGGAGACATTCATAACGCCTTCTCAAAAAACGGCAGGAATATGCAATTTTTGGGTCGATGTTTTCTGACTTCCACTTTCCTTAAGAATGACAGTATCAGTGTGGCACTGCCTGTCTTATAAGGGGAACACCTTACTGCTATCACTCCCTATCCACCTCGTAGTACGACTTTACCCTCGACCCCCATCACAGTGTAGCAGCATACACCACAACGGTAGTAGCATTCGTCTTACCAGTATCCAACAAACCCTCTGTCATGTTAGAACCTCGAAAGAATAAGCGTTCCGGCCAATGTAGCTCATTGGGTCATTGTGGTATGCGAATCCGACCACTACGTCAAGGTAATAGCTGTCGGCCGGGAAATGTTTCTGCGACCATAAATTTTTTTCTATTTCAGGTAATCTGCGTAAACAAATTACTCGTTGTGGGTAGTCAGGAACTGTCAACGGCCTTCACGTTATTAATAGTATACAAGACCTAATCAAACATTAACTATCCTTCATACCTCTATCTCTTTCTTTACCTTCACCTGCTGATGGCAGTATTAAGTCTCTAATAACGTCTTCAACCCCTAAGACTGCGACCAACAATTGAAGCCAATCTAAACCTTAATTATAGTTTCCTGAGGCCTTACTGTCGGTTTCACTTTGCAGCTTTCAATGTCCGAAGCCTATGCTTAATCGGACAGAATACATCATTTTCGAGAACTCAAGAATCACAAGTCAAGCATATATGGTGTTTTTTTGAAACAAATATTCATGACCCGAGTGTAGTTTTTCACTTGACCTGATCCACCTATTGTGGTGAATCTAAAAAACTCACCTTACGTGAATCTGGCGACTCCATGGTTAGCTCTTGTGAACTCGCTCGCTCAGGCATAGCATTAAGTTGTAGAGCAGAAAGTCCACTTCTCGACTTGACACTAGTCAACAGCCGTTTGTGCGCTATTCAACTGAATGGATCTGTGAAAACTGGGAAGGATCATGACACTGGTTGTTGACGATTTGTAGTCTCCACCTGCCTACACTCACCTACCGGCTGCAGTTCGGATGATACAAAGGATGAGTTCTATCAAAAGCTGTTAATTTTCCTACATAAAACGAAACGCTCAGATATACTCATAGCAGAAGGTGACTTCATCACTCAAGTAGGTAGATGAGCTGATCGGAAAGCCATCTGTGAGTTATCTATGGTGACCTAGATCAACAAACCAACGACGGTGATCGTCTCCTGCAATTTTGTGCTGACAACCACTCGTTTCTGACCAGTACAATTTCAAGAATAAGGAGGAATGCCCTTTCACTTGTCTTCCGTAGACATCAAATTGAGGGTGGACACAGATAGATCATATTGCTATGAGGCATCGTTGAAGAGAATATATGAAGGGTTATC